CCCCTTTGCTTATATCCAATTGACTGTAAGCTGTACAAGTGCAATTCTTTAAGCACACTACCTTGCATTCATCGAGGGTCATACTCTTGTTAAACCAGGAATATTGTGTGTCTGGCAATTTAATACCGGAATACTTGAGAAATACATCTCCATTTTTGCAATTCAAGGAAGTTCTTGGAACACACCCACCCGACCAATCTGCCTTCTCCCAAGCTTCTGGATCTTTAGGCAGAAATCTATCCAAACATCCACAAACAGGAGAATTTCCAATAGTGCAACTACCATATGCACCACACACTTTATAAATGTCACAATTATCTGTCGGAGCAGTGAGGTAAACCACCCAACTTTGCGTCTGACTAACCCACACCAAACGCTCTCCACTACCACTTGAACTCACTGTATACCTTGTAATAATTGATCCAAGGAGCTCATAAGTATAGTATCCCTCATTTTTGTTTAAAACTACTCCAAATTTGAAAATAGAATTGTTCCTCAAGTTTGGCATCCCACTATAGCTTAGTCCGTTCCAAGGTCCGGTTTTAAACACCACAACTGAACCTCTTTTCATGACATGTTGTGGATAACCAGTAGGATCAAAGTGACATGTAATATCTCCTGAAGATGGATCATCATTGTTATTCCATGATGACAGATAGACCTCCCGACCAGTTAAAAAGTTTGAACCGAGCTTCATTCCTGGTAACAATGTATCCGTCGGATAATTAAAACTCTCCCAAAGGAAATTCCCTTGGCCATCATCATTCGCATCTTTCATGACTAGGTTTCCTGAGTCAAGCAATATTGCAACTGGAGTTTTTACGGGTCGTGATGTATTTGATGACCATATGATTCCACCACTAGATTCGTTCAGAAGAACTAGGAGCCCTGGCTCGATAACCTTTAAGACTACTCCTGATGTATTTGAGACTGGAATTTCTCTGTTGGCAACCCATATTACAGTCTTGACTGTTATTTTCTTGTACCACATGCCCACGTATCTATTCTTGGAATTTCCAGGGCTGAAAAAGCCTAACTCAAAGCTTCCACCCGATGAAAGTATGGTCTCGCCATCCCTAAGGATCTGTGTAGTAGTTATAGTATCTGTTTGATTGGAGATTTTCCAGATGGACATCAAAAAGGTTAAGACAAAAATCAAGAGGGAATATTTATTGGATATCTTCATGGTTCTAGTTCTACTCTCTTTCTCCTTTTTTCTTCTTTAATAGAATTGATTTTTAAGAAATGAGCAAAAGCTTTCTGTTAGAGTATGGAAGGCAAAGAGGAGGGAAACTTGGTTCAATTGATTCAAGAAAAACAGCAGTACACGACTTCCTTTCATATAGCCATACATGACGCAAATAAAATGATATTCTATTCACTATTCAACCTACTCCCACTACGCCATACTTGTCAATTACATCAACTT